GGTCAGTCTACTGATGGATTCATTCACATTGCTGACTGGTACACCACATTCTGTAAACTAGCAGGAGTTGATTCCAATGACTCTGGAACAGGAAAGTTCCCAGTTGATGGTTTAGATGTATGGCCTATCATAACAGGAGAGAATGAAAAGACACAGCATGAAGAGATAGTGTTGGGATATGACTTTGGAGATAAACATCCTTCACAAGGAGCTATAATAATGGACAACTATAAGCTCATAGTTGGTTTACAGGTTAATGGTTGCGATAGTTTGATGTGGTCGCCATTAGACTATCCTTGTACCCAAGGCTCTAAAGGTTCCGATTGTGATCCACATTGTCTGTATGATATTATTAATGATCCTTCTGAGAGGAAGGATTTATCAAAAGAAAATCCAGAGATTGTAAAAAAGCTTCTTGATAAGTACAACGCTTTTTCCAAAGAGCCAAGAGATATGCAAGATCAAGGATACCATACTTCCTCTACTTTACCAGAGGACCCTAATGCATGTAAATTTATGACAGCTAATGGTGGGTATTGGAGACCATGGAAAAACCTGTAAAGCAATAAGCATAATTAACATTTCGCTGATTTATGCATAAAATTGCTGACTTGTAAACTAAAATACATTCATACATGTTATAATTGACTTATCATGTGATGCTAGCCTAGGCAATAATGTCTACTTTATTTCAGATTGCACTAATAGCTGCTTTGTGTGGTTGCTTTGTTGGAGCAGCTAAACTGCCTAATATTGTATTTGTGTTGGTTGATGACTGGGGTTTTGCTGATGTTGGTTTCAGGAATCCAGCTATCTCTTCACCTAACTTTGACGATTTGGCTAAAACTGGTCTAATTCTCAATCGTCATTATGTCTTCAGGTATTGCTCTCCTTCTCGTGCCTCCTTCCTAACTGGACGATGGCCCCATCATGCTCATCAATGGAACATACCAAGTTTTATGGAAATGGCTGGTACTAACCTTAACATGACAATGCTTCCAGCTAAACTGAAAACAGCAAACTATGCTACTCATATAGTAGGAAAGTGGCATCAAGGATTCTTTGATCCTCGATACATTCCAATCAATAGAGGGTTTGATACTTCAAGTGGTTTTTTAGGTGGTGGTGAAGATCATTTTACTCAATACATACAGTGTTCCATTGATTATTGGAAGAATGATGCCCCTGATCCTCGTAATGGAACTTATGATGCTTATAACTATCGAGATGACCTGGCAAAAATAATAGAAAATCAGGATACTACAAATCCACTTTTCCTTTATCTTCCATTACACAATGTACATGATCCTTTTGAAGCTCCTGACGAATGGTTGAATATTTATCCAGTCAATTCCACTTGTGAGTTCCGTCGTACCTATCAAGCTATGGTCAGTGTAGCTGATAATGTTACTGGACATTTA